CTGCCGCCGCGGCAGCAGCTGCAGTCGCAGCCATCCCACCAGGCCCCCGCCAGCCGCGACGGGCCCCTGGCGGAGTTACTCGCATCGCTCCAGCTCGGTGGCCACTCTCCCATGCCGCAGCATCGCAGCTCAGACCCGAATCTGCAGCAGCAGCCGTCACAGCAGCAACAGTCGTCGTACAAAAGTACGGCGGGCGCCAACGGCAGCGGCAGCGGCGGCAGTGCTGACGGCAGAGGCCGCCTGGTAGCGAGTGGGTCCAGTGGAGCTGCAGGAGCGGGAGCTCGGAATCCGGATAAGGGAGGTGCGGGCAACAGCATGGGTCGCAATGGCGGCGGAGGGGGAGGAGCGGCGGGAGGGGCGGGAGCAGGCGCAGGTGTGCGTGATCGTGATGTCGACGACCGTGCGACTGTGGCTGCGATGGAGGCGTTGAGCCGTCAGGTGGAGCAGCTGCGGGCGGAGCTGGGCTCCGAGCGGCGGGAGTGCCAACGACTGAGGGTAAGGCGCGCACAGGAGTGCCAGCGAATAACGGAATCAAAAAAGTTCGACGTTCCCTTTAGAATGATTTCAGCGCCTGGCGTGCTTACAATCCACTGCCCTTCCCCATGACCTCATGGCTTCGTTAACCCCTGCCTTTGCGACCTCACCCTGCTTTACCACCCTTCATGGGTTCTTTTCCCCTTACCAGTCTGAGATCTCCAGCTTGGAAGCCGCCCAGAGGGCAGCCAGCGATTTGGCTGAGGCCAGCGCTGCAGCGGCGCTGGGGGAGCTGCGGGGCCAGTTGGAGGCACTCCGGAAGCAGCTGGAAACCAGCGAGGGCGCTAAGCAGCTTCTCATGGGGCGGGTGCAGCAGCTGCAGGAGCAGCAGGGCAGTCTGCTGGACCTGCAGGTGCGGGTGGGGGCCCATGATGAGGATGCCAAGTGATGCCTGAACGGGATTGTGTGAGTGGGAGGATTTAAGAGGTTCGTAAAAGAAGGGAGAGAGAGCTTCTTACTTCTGCTAAGGCAGGAACTGCGGGTGATTTTCGGAGCTGGGAGATGTCGGAACCTTAAGTCCTCAACTGCCCTCACGCCCGGTCATGCGGGACAAGATAAAGCAAGGCCGGAATATGTGCGTTCGTATGTGTACATGTGTGTGCCGCTGCCGCTTAGCTACAGCTCCCGGCGCGCAGCCAGGTCTCCGATACAATACGCCGTACCCTTTGCAAGCGCCCATTCAGCCAAACCATTCAGCCAAACCCAAACCACCCAGGCGGACACCTTTCTTCCCTTCCCGCCTCCCATCAACTCAGGCTGAGTCCAGCATGCTTGAAGCTCAGGTCCGGGCACTGCAAGACAGTCTGGGCGCTGCTCGCTCGGGTCAGTCCTCCTTGGCTGCTCAGCTCGCGGACGCCAAGGCGGCGGCGGATGCGCTGCGTCAGGACAGAGACCGACTGCAGCGACAGAACCATGATCTGTCGGACAAGCTGCAGGCGCAGGTAGTAGTAGGGGCTAGGGAGGGAAATGGGAGGAGGACGCGTGGGAAAGTTGGGTTGTTGCTGTCAGGTGTGGTGGTTAGGGAAAGGCGAACAGGATCATATGGTGGTGGGGTCGGCGTGAGGCTTTTGGTTTGTATCCAGGTCTCTGCCATGGGCTGCGGGATACCAGTGGTGGATTGGTTGGGCTCCCAGCCACCACTCAACCACAGGTCTGCTCTGCTCATCCTTTTTTCCTTCCTTGTACTCTTGTGAATGCGGAGGCCCTCTTTTTCTTCTGATCCCTTCTTGGCCCGTCCTATTCCTTAACCTGACCGGCGCCATGTAGGTTCGCAGCCTGAGTGAGGAGACCTCGCGGCTGCGCTCTCAGGCGCTGGAGGCCGCCAGTCAGATGGAGGCAGAGCAGGCCGGCCGCCGGGCCGCGGAGTCGGCGCTGGCGCAGCTGCGGCTGCAGGTGGAAGGCAGTCGCAGCTGCGAAAGCAGTGCGCTGCAGCAGGCGGCGAGTTTGGCCAACCAGGTCAAGGAGCTGAGTGCGGCGCTGGAGTCGGTGCGCGCGGAGCGCAACAAGCTGCAGGTCTCTTCTTTGGGGGATCGGGCGGGACGCATGCGGGGTCCGCCTGTCTCTTCCCCGCCTCTTCTCGTTTCCCTTTGTAAGGGAGTGACGGGGGATGGACGTGAACACGCAGAAGTGCCCCCCTGTGCTTCCTCGGCAGCCGCTAGTATGTCATCCTTGCAGGGAACACGCGAAATTGGCTGTCCCTGCCCCCATTACCCTTACAATCCCTCCAGGAGGCCAAATGGCGGTCCGAGGAGCGGTCCGAGCAGCTAAGTCTGGACCTTGAGGGCGCCATGACGCAGGTGGCCAAGGCGGAGATGGAGGCCCGGGCCGCCTCCACCAAGGCAGAGAGCGACTTGCGGTCCGCTATCTCGGCTGCGGAGGGCTTCAAGGCGGAGCTCAAGGCGGCGCGGTCACAGGTACGCAACGGGGGACGGGGCGCAGGGAGGGCTGGGGGTGCTGTTGGGACCAGAGCGGATGCGGTGTCCGTTTGATGACCCTTCACCCGGGCGCCCGTCTGTCTTTTGCTGTCCTGATCTAATCCCATATGTGATCCTCCGTTCACTCGTTATGGGCCGTTCAGGCGGTGCGTGGCTGTTGCTGCCAGTCCGGCACTGATATGGGTCTCTTTACACGGCACCTCCCCAACCCACACCCTCACTCTTATGACCCAGTTCTCTCATACCTACGGTAATTTCTTGCCGCCGCCCTTGCTGGGCCGCCCTTGGACCCCATAGCTGGATAGTGTACGACAGGAGCTCCGGGTGGCGCAGCTGACGGCGGAGGATGCGGCACGGCGGGAGAGTGCCGCACAGACGGATGTGCAGGAGCTGGAGGCGCTGCTGAGAGGTGCGTGCACGGAGGGGGGCAAACAGCGCCGCACCGGCCGTCAAGTACTTCAATGCTTTAAGAAGCAGGGCGTTTGTTTCTTGCACTTTTACTTTTCCCTCTTTACCTAGCCCTCACATACCGCTCCTTTTTGCTGCTGCTGGTATTTGATGCCACTGCTGCTGTTCCCACTGCATTTGCGTTGGCAGAGCTGGATCGCGACCTGGAGGTGGAGGTCAATGCCGTGTGGCGGCAGCTGCGAGCCGAGCGGGCTGACTCGTTGTTTGGAGTGCCCGAGGGCGGCGCAGTGGCCCCCGCGCGGCGGTGGCGGCCTGTGTTGCAGGCGCTGGTAGGCATCATGAAGCGCAACGCCAACGAGGCGGAGCGGCAGGGCCAGGTGGGGACCGGTTGGGGTGCGGTGGGTGGGTTTCTGGTGATGGGTTTTCGGGTCCCCCTCACTCCTGCGGCTGCTGCAGCACCCCATGTTTCTCTACATCCCTTTCTTCTACCATCTCCCTCAACCCCATCCGCGGGTTTGGGGCGTCGCCAATCTTATTTGTTTGCTTCCTGCACGTGATATCTCGCTCCATCACGTCCTGGAGCAGGCCCTGGAGCAGGCCCGCGAGCGCATCCTAGGCATGGAGGCTCAGGTGGCCCGAGCCAACGAGCTAGCCAGCTCCCTAGCCGCCCACCAGCAGCTCAAGGCGGCCCACTTGACGGAGCTGGAGGAGAGCCACAGAAGCATCGCACTCATGGACCAGGCGCTGGCGGTGCGTGTGTGCTTTGTGGGGGGCCCGCCGCCCACGGTGGCGGTTGGCGGTAGATGGGGCTCCGTCCGCTGTCCTCGTGTCACAGGGTGCGCACGCGGGGCGGGGAGTGGGGGACAGGGAGGGTGTAAATCCTTGCTCGTTCCACGTAGATGGGAATTGAAGGCGGGCGGGCGACGGGGATGGAAAGGGGGGCCCCGGTGCGGAGTAATGTTTTCGAGATGGGGAAGTAAGAACAGCTGCGAGGAGGGAGTCCTCCAACGTTAGCATCCTCTGGCAGTTCTTTCAGATCATCCATCATTTGCGGTGAAATGTTCTCCAGCCTGCTCCTAAGTGTTCTCCAGGCTGTCAAGACTCGTCGGTCCCAACCTGCCTTCTGATTCCGCGCCCTCTCACTCTCGCCGTCGTCTTGCAGGAGGCCAACCGCGAGTGTCAGCGACTGCACCGGCAGCTGGAGGAGCTCTCTGCCGCACATAAGGCCCTCACAATGGAGTCCGCGGCCCGTGAATCCCGGCTGCAGGCCCAGGCGACGGAGCGGGAGGTGGCACTGCAGGTGGGGTCTCCTTGTTTAAGAGCGTGCGAGAGCATTAGGGGCGGGGATTTAGGAAAGAAGAAGGGGAAAGGCCATACGCCGGCGGTCGCGCTGTCCCTGCTGCGTATCAGAAGTGGGCGAAAGAGGAGCCCAGGAAACGGGAGGGTGAGGGTTTACGGGCCGCAGGTCGCAGGAAATGGCGGCGAAGGAAGAGAGACGAAAAATACCTATAGCCTGTTTTTTTCCTTAACGGGAGGGTGAGGGTGAGGTTGAAGGTGACATGATATGCAAATAAAAGGGGGAACAAAAGCTAGCACGTCCGTTATCGCTTTTCCAACCATCCATTTCCCTTCCCCCTTGCGCTTTCCCCCTTGCTCTTCCGGAACCCCCTTGTGCGTTCCTACCTTCCGTTCCCTGTCGCATTTTTATATTTGTTTTTCGTCCAGGCGCAACTGTCGGAGAAAGAGGAGCGGCTGCGCGCTGCGATGGCGGATCAGGAGAAGCGCGTCCAGGTTTTGTCTGCTGAGTGGGAGGCCAAGCTGGCGGCGCAGTCGGCGGAGCGAGACGCTCGGCTGCACTCCGCGGTCATGGACGCGGAAGCCAGGCTGCAGTCCAGCGTGTCGGAGCGAGAAGCGAGGCTGGTGGCGGCGGTGGCGGACGGCGAGGCGAGGTTGCACAAGGTGGGTGGTTTGGTGAGTGTGTTAACAGGCGGCCGGTTTCCTCTATCCTCTAACCTTGCCTCACTCACCTATTCCCCGGACCCCTTACTCCTTTCTGTATTTTCTTACGTTCTCCGCCCACACCCGCCATGAATATGAACTTTGTTGACCCCTCACCTGGTCCCCTAAGCTACCGTTACCTGTTTTCTAATCACCCCTCCAACTCTGTGACAGGCGGTCCTAGACGCCGACGCTCGCTTCCACGAGGCCATTACGGAGCGGGAGGCGCGTCTCGCGGCCCTGGCGTCGGAGCGCGAGTCCCTTCAGCGCCAGATCTCCACCATGAGTGCGTTGCAGTCGGAGGACAAGCAGGAGCGGGACATGCTGCGACTGAGGGTGAGATATTGGAGGTGAATTGCCGGGGCCCCCTGCTGCTGGCGCTGCTGATGTTGCCCCAATAGAGGAATACGCTGAACACCAGAGCTCGTCCTCCCATCCTCCTCAGCCATCCGAACCAAAGAGCCAACCTCTCCCCTTCCCCAAATTCGCATTCACAATCGGTTCGGCTCCTGTGCTAAGCTCCGTTTGTCCACTTCCTTCTCGAAACCTCCGCTCCGCTCCGCTCTCCTGCCCCTCTACTCCTGGTACACTCTTGCCCTGGCAGCAGCTTCACTCGTTCGTGGTTCGTCTTTCCCCTCTATCCCCCAACAAGGTTAAAACGGGTCCAGTTGCCCAGCCATTTCCCCGTACGTCTCACAGCCCTCCTCTTTCCCCTTAATCCCCCTTTTGCTTTTTCCATGGACCCGTCAGGCGCACCGACGCGACCACCTGCTGAACATCGTGTGGTCGGAGGTCCGCGCCATCAAGCAGACGTGTCTGATGTCATCCGGCGTGACCTCCTCCTCGCCGCGCGGCCACTCGCAGCCGCTGTCGGTCTCCTCCCCGCAGCGAAGCGCAGCGAGCGGCGGGGCGGGCATGGGTGCAGGCATAGGTGTTGGTTCCGCCTCCGCCTCCTCCGCAGGCGGCCCCGCCGCCGCCGCCTCGCATGGGCCGGTTGATTCGGACAGCAGTGTGGTGGACTGGGAGGACCCTACATGCCAGGAGAAGCTGATCAAGGGCCTCACCACGCTGCGGGTGCAGGTGGGTTTTGCAGTTGTCGTGTCGTGGGGATTGCCGTGTCGTGGGGAGAGGAAAGCTGCGCACGCAGTGATGGCACAAACGGCGACATCCCGGGATTTTTTTAGTGAGGATAACTTGTTGTGGAGTGTATGCGGGATGGGTAACGGGAGCGTACTATTTCCTCACGTGGGAGGTAGAGGTAGAGGTGGTGGCGGTGGCGGTGATGATGTCTTGAAGGCTCTGTCCGGGTGAGAGAACCACCTCTCGCCCCCTCATGTTACCGAGACCCATCTACCCGTGTTCCCCATTTTCTGTCCAAATCTGTCTCCAAACACTAATCCTCTGAACCCTGACTTCTCGTTCTCCTCTCCTGCCGGGGCTCATCCTCTCCCCTCCTCCTTTGGGCATCGGCGGACCTTTCTCTGACATTGCAGCACATCACATCCCCTACTTCCTGCTCCCTGCTCCCTACTCGCTCCCTCACTTGTTGGTGTCACTCCCCAGGTCGGGAAGCTGCAGGCGGAGCTGAATGGCCTCCGCTCCGGTATCGGTGTGACGGAGGAGCTGACCGGGCAGCTGGCGGCTGCCAAGGCCAGGTTGGCGGACTCGCAGCGGAGCACTGAGGAGTTCAGCTCACGAGTGGTCAGCCTGGAAATGGACCTGCGGGAGGAGCAGGCGGCCAGGTGGGAGGCTGGGAAGCGGGTTGGGGGAGGGAAGGGGACGGGCGGCACGAGGTGCGTGCGGGGATTGGAGGTGGTAAGGCGGGTTACGATCGGAGGGTTACAACACCTTTCACGCTTTAGGCGTGCAATGCGGTGATTTGCAGTGCGCTGCTCCCGCACCAGAAATGCGGCATGCGCCACATGCATGACCTGCCGATGTGCCCCACAAATAAGCCACATCCTCTCCCGTGAATCTGCACGTATCTTGATGCATTTGGATGTGGATGTGTATCTGTACGTGCGTGTGTCTTCACAGGTCTGTCCTGCAGCAGCAGCTCGCCTCCCACGAGGCCTCCGCAGCCGCACTGCAGTCCTCGCTACTGGAGGCTCGCCAGACAGCTGTGGCGCTACAGGAGGAAGTGGCGGTCATCACCAAGTCAAGAGACACCTGGAAGGTGAGGCAGCCCCTCTCCACCACTGTGGTGGTGATACTGTGCTTGGGGAGGTGGTTGGGGAGGCGAGGGAGAAAGGCAGTGGTGTGTGTGTGTGTGTGTGTGTAAGAGAGAGAGGGGGGCAGCTCAAAGATGGTTGGATAGCCGGCGTTCCGCACCAAACATAGCGATATTTATATGTAAGCTATACCTGCCACTGCTCATCTGTTTTCACCTCGCAGCTCCCTCATCTTCCCAGCACGATTATATCTCCGGCTCGTCAGCGTCAGCATCAAGCGCTCCTAGCTTAGGCTTCTAGATTCCAGTGCGCATGTAGCTAACTCCTATACCACCATCGCCATCACCATCACGCTGAGCAAGCTCACCACTATGGTGCCCCTCTGTTGTGAGCTCCCTACAGCCTAAGACACCGGTACCCCAGCCCAACCCCGGCCAACCCTGACGAGTCCCATGTGCTACCCTCTGTCCAAGCCACATCCCCAGCCCCATGCCACTGTGCTCTCTCACACTTCCCACCTCCTTCCCCCTCGCCCGCAGGAGACTGCCACGCAGCAGGAGGCCCAACTCCGGGAGCTTTACTCGGAGGGGGAGACTCGGGCGGGGGAGTTGTCCCGGCTGCGTGCCGAGGCACAATCCGCCAACACGGAGGCGTCGGGAGCCAGTGCCAGGGCGAGGCTGCTTGAGTCGCAGCTGCAGGTGAGCGAGGCGTCCGCTGAGTATATTTACTTTATAGAGCTGTAAAGTGAAGGACAACCGCGCGCGAGTGCGGTGCTGGTAGGGGGAACATACGCGTGTTCATGGCGGGCTGGACGCGGCCCCTGCTGCTTCGACGCTGTTGCGGCTCATCCAGTCATCATGCAGATATGGCCAGCATCGCTGGCTGATGTTGTAATGCTGCTGCTGCTCCTGTTCCTGTTCCTGTGTCATTATCTCGTTCAGTTGCTGCACCGCTGTTGTTTCGCCCTGGGTTCTGTGCCTGTATGCTGTACCACCACTGTCTCACACCTTTGATGCGTAAGGTCCTGCGTCACCCATGTCATCTGCTCAGGATGCCAAGGACCAGTTGGATACACTGAGCGCCCGGCTGGCGGCCACCGACAAGGCGCTGAGTGACGCCAACGTGCGCGCCGCCTCGCTGAACGGGCAGCTGGTGCTGGCGGAGAGCGAGACACGGCTCAAGACACAGGAGCTGCTGGCGCGGGTGCAGGCGGCGGAGGACGGGGAGCGGCTCGCCAAGGTACGTGCGCTGCCACCGCCACTGGCACTGTCGCTGCACAGACTCCGCTGCACTGCGATGATAGCCGCCGTCGCTTGGACCCATAGCACCCAGCGGGCCCCTATCCCGTTACTCCACAATGGTCCGCAAAGTTTGCCGAGGGCTCCGACACACTCTCCAGCTGTAACGAACACACATAGTGATGCACGTAAGAAAAACGTCTTTTCCTCGTTCCTAAGCTATCATTCTCCGCAGTGCCTCTCCACCCTATTAACCTTACCATCATACCGGCACTCCATACACCATCCACATGACGGGTTTTGGTCTCCTATTCAACCCACTACACATGCACTTGTGTAACACAGAAGCACATATACTTACAACACGTGCGCACATACACACTTGCAGCTATACGCATACACGTACATACAGGCATCGCGGCGCAGATCATTAAAACATACAGGCATACTTGCAACGCAACGCAGGCCAATGCCAAGGAGGCCATGGAGCGGCTGGAGACCCGGCTGCGGGACGCCAGCGAGCAAGGTGGCAAGCTGGTCGCCGACCTCGACGCGTTGAGGGCGGAGAGGAACGAGGCGCAGCTGCGGGTGGGGGAACTGATCTAGGGAAGGGGTGGGACTTGCGGATGGGCGGTGGCCGAGGGGATTGGGGAAAAGACCTTAGGCGACAGGCAACGGCTGGGCGGGGGGGACTTGGGGGAAATACGCATGTGAGCATCAGAGCTTAGGGCCCCCAGATAGGAGGGGAAGAAACCAGGTACACGAGCGGCCCATTTCCGGGTTACCAGTTGCGGGACAGGGGGAAGGGGGGAAGTACGTACAGTAAGGATGAGCTCAATCCCTTCAACCCCCTCCTCCTTTGGCCCAACCGCCCTCACCTGGGCCTTTCGACCTCTTAACTGCGTTTTGGGGCTGGAGGGTGTCTTTTTTTTACTCCCCGGCATGAAAATTTCCTTCCTTCCAGGCCGATGAGCTGCAGCGGCACCTGGCGGAGGCTCGTGCCCGCCTGTCCGACCTGGAGCACAGCGGCAAACTGGTGCACAAGCTGATGGCGGAACGCGACGCGCTGCAGGATCAAGTCAACACACTGCGTAACGCCAACATGCAAGGTGAAGGGGTGACTGGAAACGGCGTGTGACTGCCTGGCTGGGTGCAAGTGGCTTGCTGGCTGGATTGGTGGCGGCAGGTGGCTGGCTGGGTCTCAAACTCCACCTACGTTCGCCCGCTCAGCCTTTTCCGGCCGCCCACACACAAACGCAAAAACGCGCGTACGGGTGAAGCTGTACATCCCGCAAGGCCTGCGTTTCACGGGGTTCCTCCCCACTCCCCGTCGCAAGAGTTTTTTCCCTTCCGTCCTCTCGCAGCCCCACCCCCGGCCCTCTGTTGCGTCGCCGCTCGCTCTTCTCGCCCTTCCTTGTAGTCACGGATGAAGCTCGTAGTCTGCGACGCACTCTGGACAGCATCCAAGAGCAGCTGCATCGCGCCACGGAGGAGAAGATGCGGCTGGCTGCCCAGGTGGAGGGGCAGAGGCTGGAGGCCATCATGAACAGCATGGCGCCGAGGACCGCTGGCAGGATTGGCGCCCTGGCGCGCCCGACGGGCAGCGCGTCAGCTGCTGGCGCCATCGGGGGCTCCTTGGCGACCGATCTAAGTGTGGCAGGGGCCCCGCTGGACCCACGGTCGGCACCGGCAGGCTTCAACAGGTGGGCAAATTGTGGGATGTGCGGGGGTGGGCGTAGTGGTTGTGGGTTCTGGATGCTGGTGGTGGGGTTGGGGTTGGTGGTGGGGACCGAAGGGTTAAACGTCGATTTCGACCTGGTGGGAAGTCGTTGTTGTTGTGGCCAGGAGTTCAGGAGGGTGCATGTCATCTCGTCGCCCTGATCCTCGCCAGACGCGCGTGTACTGTCGTCTGCCGGTGTCTGCCAGTCTGCATGCGTGCCTCTCTGTCAGCCTGTCTACCTGTATGCATGGTAGTGCTTCCGCTTTTGCTCGGTTCCCAAGCTCATGTGTGTTGTGGTGTTTCCTCTGCTAAGATATACGGTTCCGTAGTTTAGATGGTCCAGGGCACACACCACGGCAGGTGTAAGCCGCAACACAACAGTTCGCACTTCAACTTTAGCGGCCACAGTCGCCGGACTCGACGGACTCATCCAGCATAGCCGGGCATTCTTCTCGCCATTACATCAATACCTTTAGAACTTTTCCTGTTTGGAATCTTGGACTGGATATGCATTTCGCGTTTGCTTCTGCGCATGAACACCCAGCCGCGCTGCCACCCGCCCTCTCGCGCTCTCTTAGGAGCTATGCAGGGCTGTCGTGCACGGGTATAGGCAGCTACGCGCCGCCGCCGTCGCTGGGTGCAAGTCCGTCGCTGCCCTCCGTGGCTCGCCCTGCGTACGCCGTTGTCAATACCCCTTACACGCCTACCACGACCACCGCCGCCACTACCGCCAACTCCAACCCCAGCACCACCGCCACGTCAGTATATGAGGCCACGGTTAAGCAGACGACGGCGGTACGGGTTCCTTCATTCGGGGGTGCGGGCGGATCGTATGGCGGCGTGGGAGGAGGCTCGTACGGGGCCGCTGCAGGAGGATCGTATGGTGGCTCGTATGGCGGTGGGGGAGGATCATACGGTGGCGCAGGAGGATCGTATGGCGGTGCTGGGGGAGCGTACGGCAACGTTATGTCTGAGGAACCACCATTGACAACCGTCCGAGTGCATGTACGAACGTCGCCAACGCATTCACAACCCAATGCGCCGCATCCAGGAGGACAACCACCAGCAGCAGCAGCGGCTTCTGCTGCGCGGTGAGGAGTGGTCATCCACCTTGGCCTTATCTTCCGCGGCAAAGAAAGGGGCGCTCTTCTTCTTATGGTGACAGCGTACTGACCCTGCTTGTGACTGAGCACGGTTAACAACTGCCGCTCAGCGCCACCGAACCAACCGTGATCGTGATTAACCAACAACCATTTTGAACAGAAGCATAAGATATAGTAATTATTCGTTTTGATGACGCCGAGAATTGCAGGAGCACGTCCTTCTTATCAAACCGTTCATGCAACACTGATAAGCTTGCTGTCGTCCGTACTACCGTACCTGGACCGCTTCTTAACCGCGTCTTCTTGGACTGCCGATGTGGGTCCAGCACGGCCGCTGGTCTCTGTACGGCACGCATTTGCCACCGTGTGCTTTTACAGCAGTTGCAATTGTGACACAGTTCTGCATCAGGATAAATTGCACTGCAGTCGTACACCCGGAGTCCCGGCCCGTTCCCTGTCTATCGCTTCTGGGTCCTTGCCCTTTGTTTCTTTCTTGGACTTACGTGCCAGCAACGTCCCGCATTGCGACCAGAGGGTTTCCCTCCAACTCCCCTCCGGCGTGGCTAGAAAGACTGACAACTCTGCATTTGTATGGGTTGTTTGTGTGTGTGTGTGCTTGTGGAGGAGGCGCAAGGCTCTGGGTTTCTGACATTTTAAAGTCTGATTCATTGTGGGGGTTGACAAAGGACTTGCTGGAGGTTTACGGTGGGGGCTCACGGCACACTTGCCAACGCGCGGCATCCTCATCATGCTGGAAGGTTGATACCACTGCGCGGCACGGCAAGGCAGGCTTTCATTTGATCATCGTAAGCGTGACTGCATCCGATGCATGCAGTGTGAACATAATTATCCGCATAAACTCGCGCAACGTCTTCGACCTCACTCTTGCACAAAAGGGAGCTACGGACCCAATCGGTCCGTGCACGCGACACCGTTGAATTCCGTAGCAACCTGACGCCCTCAGCGGAATGAGAGAACATGCCTTAGTGAGGTTTGTAAGCATTTGTCTCTACTTCCGCTTTTTGCCGTGTCTTTTTTCAAGGTGTCCCGGAGTAGTCCCCGCAGTGCGCTGCCCAGCGGGCACGGAGGCGGCTTTAGCGCCAGCCTCCTTGTGCCCTGCGACCCCGCCTGCTGCGCCCTCCTTCATGCTGTCTGTGTGAACCCGCGCGGTGGCGGCAGCGGCCGGCGGCTGCTCGGCGCCAAACACAGCCGTCACACACAACACACACATGAAAATTATAGTCGGAAGGGGGGTGCACGCTGTCTGGAACACCGCCCAAATGAACATGCCCAGCGCCACCAGTGTCACCTTCAGGTCAGGCACCTGCACATAAATGAATGGTAAGGTGGGCAAGTCGGAGAAGACGCTGGGAAAGACTTGATTAGTATACTAAATACGGCATCATCCACACGGACGCTATGCATCGTGACCAGTGCCTACGTGAGACTTCCCCGTGTGATTCAGCTAAAAACAGCTCCGGTTCTTTCTTACTTAAAGTATACACATTTCATCTCCATTAGCAGATAAGTCCAAATTGATTTTGGGCGCGAAGACCTAGCACCTGTGCTCCATATCTCGCAAGCCTTCCTCGGCAGCCATCGTCATAGTGTCGTTAAATGTACCATACCGCCCAGACAGCAGACGCATGAACGTTCCACAAAAATTGAACCGAACCGCGGGCAAACTCACCACCGGCATGGCGCAAGCGCACGCCAAAAGCATGCCACACGACAGTGCCAGTAGCCCAGACGCGGGGCCCCCCGCCTCCTGATACGATTCACCCAGGTGGCTGACGTCGCTGTCCTGTAACAGGGCTGCGCTCAAAAAATACGGGGAGTGCCGAGTCCAGTCACCAGCTGTGACGCCCCTTGACTAGATCTGCCTACATGCAGCCTGCCAATGCGCGTGCTGAACTGAAAGCGCAAAAAGCACAGCGAGCTAGGTCTACGTGACAAGACACGTGCACGCCATAAAGCACTCTGGACCGTCGTGGTGAGCTATCCAATGTGGCGATGAAGTCCCACCATGGTAATCATCACTTATGATCACTGAGCGCATACATATGGCAACCAGGTTGCGGTCGCTGACTACGCAATAGGCGAAGGAAACAAGGCTCCGGTCTCCATCGTGTAACGCACGATATCGATAATGAAGATGGTGGGAAGAGAGGCCCCAGGCGCACACAAAGGTCACACATGCCGCTCGCTACCCAAGCCCCTGAGTAAGTGTTAGCATATTTCGCGAACATAGCCACGAAAGGGCTTCGTCCTCCGAGCTCCCATCACCGGATCGCATGACGGGCTGAGGTCTGATCAAAACACACATACGCACACAAGCGCTCACCTTGACCATCCAAAAGGCGTCCCAGAGCGCAAATCCCCGTGCGAGATAAACATTTGAACACCTCCTTGGATAACATTTTCCACCAAGTGCCAGGAAGTATGACTACATGCATTGCGTTTGCATAGTCCGGATAACTACGACTGACCCCGATGGCTGCTATTTCGACTGCGCTTAGCGGAACATCCTTCACACGTCCGTCATGCTTGATTGGGACTGTCAAGAGTGGTGTCTGCAGAAACACGAAGAGGGCGAAGCAGACGCCGCATATGTGCTGCACCGGACTTACTAACCGAGCCCTGCTTCTTTTCCTTTTCGAGAACATGTGTTATACGGATCTTAAACACTAAATGAGGGATTGTGCATATAATAATGACTAAATTGCCAAAAAGGGAACCCTGCAATCGGGACGTCACGTCGGCTACTTGTACGTCGGAAACAGTGCACTTGCCAAAATTCTTCACCTGCACATTGTCCTCGTAGTTTCAAAAGGTATCTAAGTCATTTGAGTCTGAAAGTTACCAGCAAGTTACAAATAGGCCAATTACAACTAGGAATTATCATTGTCATTTTGTCTTCTTCAATTCTTTCACACTTTTCTGGACAGACTCTTTTGCCGGTGCCCTCTCGGTGCCCTCGTCATTACCCGGGTTCATAATAATGTATATCGCTATAATCATGGCGACGCACATATTTGTAACGGCAATAATTTCGCACCCTGCTTTATTTGTTGTATATGCAAGGCCAGCATAGCCTAGGATTAAACCAATGGAACCATCCAAGAACGCGGATGTGATGGAGAACATGGTCGCTGCAGCCGCCGTGCCTTGAACAAACGGCCGATACTCCCCCATCTTCTCGACGAAAACATCAACCTTATTAACGGAAGAAGGAAGACGGAGGGAAAGGAGGCGACATTTTTCAGACTTGCAAATCGACCTATTCAGGGCGACACAGGTGACTTTCCAGCGCTTGGCAGAGGGGGCATCAGGATCCAAGGCATTGCCGACCGGGCGGGCCCCGGTGCACTGAGTGGGTATTATTCATGGGAGATGTGGGGACTCGTTTCTCACCAAAGGGGAGATCATGAGGGTTCCCCTCGAACACAGGACCACTTGATCCGATACCAACCTTCTACTTTTAACGCATTCTAAAGCTGATTTGCAAACCTCCTGTTTCACGGCATCGCCCCTGTGAACCGGATCCCGCTCCCAGTTCCCGGGCAACGGTGATATTTCCTCCCGCCAAAGTGTACCCACTCACGGTGTGTTGCTGCTGTGCTGCACACCAAGTTCGTACCTTATCTGTAACGTCCGCCCGTTGCAAAAGCCCATTCCAGTCTTTGAGCTTGCCCCAGTCGCACGGATCTAATCGGCTCGGGTCCACATAACAGGCGTCGATCGTCAGCACCAAAGTTTCAAAGAATGTCCCGGGCAGCAGAATGTACTTCGTGTAGGGTGCCATTTCAGGACTGGTTTTAATCAGTCCAACAGCGACGGCTTGGAGAGGGCTCCATTTCTGGTTTCGCACAGTGTCGTCGCTGAACTCCACCATGAAGCTGAACGTCGGCGCATGCATGACAAGAAACATTAGCAGTCCAACGCCTGCTGCTCTTTGTTGCCATGTCAGCCTCATTCGCTTTCTTAGGTTTCTATAAGCCGGCATGATGATACACTGCCAAGAGGCCCCGACGGATCTCCCAAGTCAAAAGTAAAAGTTGAGCAGTGAAACAAAAGAAATTCTTAAATAAATTTTTTGCAAAAACAACCTTGATTAGCAAAGGGAATATTTGTAAAGGTATCCTAACTGCCGCCAGAGGTTGCGGCCTTGAAGGTAGTTGCCTCGGCCTAGTTGGTTGATCGCTAGTCTCGTTCAGTCTCGCAGTTTCTGCAGCATGGCGCGCCTCCCAGGCGAATCCTCACTAATCGCCAATAGCAAGTGCTCCAGCTCCGGCGGGGCAAGCAACGCCAGCTCCCCCCGGTCCCAAAGCTGCTCGATATGCGCGATTGTGTCGCTGCGCAGCACGTGCAGCACGCATTGCAGCTTGCGGATCTGGGACGCCCGCGCGGTAAGTGCACTCGCCACCTGCATAGAAATACACGCGCCGATGTAAACACATGCACAATGCATGCGATGCTTCCTTCACGTGCTTCACGTGCGCCTAACCTGTCAGCAATTTGTTACGGCCCCTCGCGCATACGTGACCCCCCAATTGAACAACAGAAAAGCTATCAGCAGCTTCAGGCGTTTAAGTCGCGACCCAAACCCTTTTTGCACATTTCTCCAAGATCATCACAACTCACCACACTGAGGGGGATGCCCGACAGGTCCGGTCCCGCGCCGCGCGCCGACGCCAGCCACGCCTCCACGGCGCCCCCCACCAGGGGTCCTAACAACTCCCCCAGCTCCACGCACTCGTCATGGGCGATGTCGCTGTACGGCCGCACAAAATCAACACAGCATACATTCAACAGGTACCGAGCACGCGCACCGCATCACAGGGACCAACCCCATCTCAACTAGCAAATTAGGTACCACCACCTCCCCTCCAAGCATTACATCAGTACAGCGCGAGCACATGGCCAGCAGTAGCAGTAGCAGTAGCAGCAGCAGCAGCAAGCAAAGGCAACCACAACCACTACCCCCAGAATACAGATTAGGAACCTCATAACTAAACCCTCCACCACCACTCCCATCACCACCACCACCACCCACCCTTTGCTCATGGTGGTGGCCACCAGTTGCCCGGCTACGTGGTTGATCACCGCCGCCCCCAGGGCCACTCCGTCCTCCGGGGTCAGCACCTCGCAGGCGGCGCGACCCAGGCGGCCCAGGGAGTGGAGGAGCTGCTGAACCACACGCCGGTGCCGCTGTCCCACCTGAGGACACACAGGAGGGGGGCAGGAGGGAGTTAAGTAGGGTGAGGTAGGGTATGCAAGAAACCAGGAGGCAGGGGAGCAGTCGTGCATGCACAGCACATTATAGTGGGAGCAGCAGCAACAATGCACACGTGTGTTAATGTATAGCTACACAAGTACGGTATTTGCCGTACTGACGAGACACAAAGCGGGAAAGGGGCACAACACAGTGCCCAGTGGCGACATCCGTACATACATACGTGTACAAAATGATAAAGCTACTTTCAACGACTCCTTCAGACTGCCCCCGCCCCGGTCCCGGTCCCGGTCCCGGAGAACCCCCCCGGGTGTGTTCGTACCTTCGTGTCCGAACGTCCCACGTCGCGCAGGCCGTCTAAGCCAGCGAGGATCTCGTCCAAAGTGCCGTACTGGCTCCGGAGCTGCGCGCGGCAATGGTTAGGAGAGACAGACACACACACACAGACAGACAGACAGACGAGATAAGCCAAAGGCAAGGATGAGGTGCGGACTGAACTAGCACCGTGTTGCAGTACATCTCTTAGTACCCGATTTCGTCCTGTACTCCCACTTTCACTTCCACTGCATAAAGTCACACCTCGCTGCATCTCCTTCGGCATTACTCCAGCCCAACCCCCTGCCCCAATCTCCACCTGCCCCCGGCCCCGCTCCAAAACCCAAACCCGCCCCCCCCCCCCACACACACACACATACCTGCTCGCGCATCAGCACCCTCGCAGCCGCCCGCAGCTGCAGCGCCTCCCCCACCAACACCCGAACCACGCCCTCCCCCGTCGCCGCCTCCAGGGCGGAACCATAACCCTGGGACAGCAGCAGCAGCATGGCCGCGAGGTGCTGAAGATCGTTGACCGACAACAAACCCAATTGGGGAACGGAGCTCATGGGGGGGTCGGTGATCAAGGCGGGCCCCTTGCCGCCGCTACCTACGGCGGCGGCGGGGGAGGAGGAGGAGGAGGCGGAAGATGCTGAGGCTAAGGGTGGGAGTGTACGGGCCATGAGGGCGATGCTGGCCACGGCGCTGAGGAGGGCGCGGGATAGCGCCCGACTGCCTGCAGAGTGCGGAGGAGGCATGAGGAGGAGGAGGGGGGATAAGATGTGTGTATTGGGATGATTAATGGGGGGGGAGACGGCGGGTTTCAGTTGTGGCGGTTGTGGCAGTTGAAAGGGACCCCTCCCCTTCCCTCCCCTCCCTCGACCACACCCCTACCTGCACATGCATCCTCCACCAACCCAGTCACCAGCTGCACACATTCGTCCATTCTCCGAGTGATAAGATAGCGACCCACAGCCAGCGGAGAACCGTCCGTACGGCAGCCGCTGGGGGGATCCTGGACCTCCCAATCCTGAGGGCCAGATGCGGGACATACACGCGTGTGTGTGTGTGAGGGGGCCCCCCGCGGGAGGGTCAGGGATCAGGGGGACACGACGAAGCACAGACGACTGACGAGAAGGAAGAACCCTAGACGGACACTCCAAGACAAGGGGTACTAGTACGGGGGAGGGACCGCAGCGGATATGGGTTTGGGGGCGAAAGGGGATTTGGAAAGGAACGGAAAAACACGTCCCTCCCTGACCTTCACCTTCACCTGCACCTTCATCTTCACCTTCGACCCCGCCCTCACAACTCAGCCATCCCATCCACCTCATCCACCCCATCCACCCCATCCACCTCATCCACCCCATCCACCCCATCCACCCCGGCCCCCAGCCCCCTCCGTGATCCTTCACCCCACCCCCACCCCCACCCCCACCCACTTGCAGCTCCCCCGCCGCCAGCCTCCGGTAATACTCGTGATCCACGGCCACCTCCTGACCCGCCATGACCGTATCCCAACAGCTCCCACCACCACCACCACCGGCAGCGGCAGATGGTGGTGGTGGTAGTGTGGTGCCCGGCACCCCCTTCAGCAGTTGCCTTGCTCGTTCCAGGTACTTCTCCTGGCGGTTGGACAGCGCGTGGCGGGCCAGGCTCTCCACTGCCGGGGCCAGGTACGGGTCTTTTTGGGGGTGTGGGGCCGCGGGGGGAAAGAGGGAAAGGGGCGGGAGAGTGTCCGGCCGGGTGGCAAGGGGCCCGGGGCGGGACGGGGGACATCATGCAAGGCCACAAGGACGTGTTCTGGAGTTGTGTACATGTGTGAATGTCTGTCTGTCTGTCTGTGTTCTCGGCAAGGGGGGCAAAACAAAACAACGGGAAGCCCCTAACATTTCGGAAAAGAAGTTCGGATAAAGACGTTCGTTCCGCGGCTGCGTGAAAAAGTGTTTTTGATGAGGTGATGACGGCACCACTCCGCGCCGGGCGCAGGGGCCGGGGAGTGGTGAGGGAGCTCGTGAGGAGCAACACGGGGGCCGAGACAGAGCCCCTCTCACCCTCTCCATTCGTGAAGTTGAGGTTCTCCGCCATGGCCTCCAGATCCGCTGCCGCCGCCACCACTGCCTCACAGCCCTCCACGTCCTCGGGGTTGGCGGCGATGAAGGGTCGGGCCACGCGGGCGATGTAGCAGTCCGCGACGGCCCTCCAGAACGGGCCACCGAACACCTGAGGGGATGGCGGGGCGGGGCCGGGCGGGAGGCGTACATGCGTACATACGTACATGCGTACATACATGGATTTGTGTGATGGAAGAGGAAAACGAGAAGAGGAGAAAAGGGAGGAGAGAGGGTTTCTTTTCTTTGAGAGGACGGATGCTTCCGCACCGAGGTCGGCAGGAGCTGCGGGTCCGGAGGGTCGTACCAGAAGGCAGAACCGCCATCAGAGGGAATATGAGGCACCTAAATAGCTCCCGAAATATGACAGAAAAAACGACCGAAAGCAGTAGCTCCCTTTCAACATATTTGGATTGACGAAAATACCGTCAATCCGATCCGCAGCTGAAAAAAATTGACTAAGCCTGAGTCGGGGTCCGCATGCTGCCGCGAATAGTGTGTCAAGCGGTGGTGGTTGGATTGGTAGTTGGGTTAGTGGTTGGGATGGTGGTTGGATTAATGGTTGTGGGGAAGGTGAGGCAGGTAAATCAAGAAAAGCATCGGAGAGGGCTTCAATGATGATCACCCAACACGCACACGTCCGGTTAAGAAAACAAAAAAGATGAGATATCAATTATTGCATTCAAACTAATTAAACCCCCAACGGTGAAGATAAAACAAGTGCGATGTGGGGCTGCGGGGATTGCATGCTAATTAAGTGCAGAGTGCCGAAGCTACAAAAGTCCCAAGGTGTGGTGTGAAGGGAAAAAAAGAAAGGGGGGTTACAGGAGGTCGCCCGCACCAGTTGTTTCCCCGCACCTCCATAAGGCCCTCATCGAACTCCAGAAGCCACGTCGCCAGCAGCCGCAGCAGGTGCTGGCAGCAATGCTCCGGGTCGCAAGGCCCATCGACGCCGCCGCCGCTGCTGCCGCGCTGCCGCAGTGGCCGCGCAGCCCCGGAGCCCGGCGGCGCAGGATGCCATGCGAGGGTGGCGGCGGCGCCAGGCATGGCGGCAGGCGTTACGGTGACACAGCAGGGTGACGTCAGCATGGGCTCCAGGGCGCCGTTGACCAGGCGGTCTGGGGATCAGATCGGGACAGGTAACAGAAGACTGGAGAGAGAGTGGGAGAGAAGCAACGAGTGAAACAAACAACGAAGAGAAAGAAGTGAAATAAGTTATAAAAATTAGTTTACAGAGGGGGTTTATTTATTCAGGCCGAAGAGCGAACTAGCACTACCCCATATCAAGTCACAGGGGCAGGAACTAGGCAAGACCCTCGTTCCCTGCTCCATGATCACCGCTTTCCCTCTTTCGCCTCACACCATCATCATAAGCAACCCGCACTGCACGTAATTTGTGCACCACAAGAATCCTCTGCATCCGTACAGCACAGCACAGCACACGGTGTGTTAAGGGGGCCCCCACCCCCCCACCCTCAGATCTCTAGCTGGTGATTTTTGCACCCTTGACCTTTTGCATCCACAACAGCTCCCACGCGCTCCCCTCCTCTTTCCCCCCCTATCGGCCAGGGCATCTATCCCATCCCCTTCCTCACCTCCTCCCCACGCACATACACAACACGCACAATACGCACACGGCGGACAACACGCGCATACCTGACACATCCTTACCTGTCATCTGCCGCAGAAGCGGCTGCTGCAGCCCCAGCACCTGCGATGCCGAGATCAGTTCGGCCACCTGCACACTGCCACCTCGCAGCGCCGACCGTACCGCCACACAACACGCTGAGGAGTCCACCGTCACCGCCTCCGCACAGCAGCCGTCGAGAGCCTGACAGGGGGGTAGGGGTTACGGGCTCTGTGGGGTCCGGATTTCCCGGATCCGTTTTTTCTTTTGGAGGGGGGAAGATCCGGGTTTACGGGAGTTAAGATCCAAGTTGGAGGAGTCACGTGCGTCCGCGTCACGACGAGCCAGCTCCTCCTGGGGTATTGATTCGGGGGGTGGAGGAGGGGAAAGACGAACCACGAGAATGGGTGAAGTTGGTGCCACGGAAAGAGTGTAGAAGAAGTAGGACTGACCGAAAGGCGTTCTTGAAGGCGGCGACCTCGGGATGCTATAGTGATGATGAGGAGGAGGAAGGGGGGGGACGCATAGTGCTCCAAATGCCCACCACATCGTTTTCATCCTTCGCGACCGCCATCCCCATTTCACCTCCTTGTAAAATGCCACTTACCTTTTCATAATTTTTTCACCAAATGTTTTGTTCTGAATTTTATTTTCTACACCACACATTCTTTCCGCACCCACCTCCTTGAGCTTGGCACTGCACAGCTCCGCAGTTTCCCGAAGTAACGCCACGCTCTCCGCCGTCACCCGCGGCGGCCCAACACCCCCACCTCCACCCTCGTCCTCGCCACCCTCTCCTTCCCCACCCGCGTCCTCGCCCCCTGCCCCTGCCGCCTCCTCTTTGCCCTGCTGCTGCCTCCGCTGCTGTCTCGCCTCCCTGTCCGCCAGCTCTTCCTCCGCGTCCTGCGCCATCTTCTCCAGTCTTACACAGCAGTAGGCCGCATCGGAGAGGCTGCCTGAGGGGGAACCGTGCGGGACATGAACGTGAGCGTGGACATCATGAACGACATGTAGGGAAGTACGGCCCTCCGGAGCATTTAGAGGCCATCAAAGCCATCCAAAGGACAGAGGTCCTGAACACCTCTCATTTACGCACCGCACCACACCACCATTACCAGCACCAGCACCAGCACCACCGTGCCATCTAACGCATTCGCCAGTCAACCGTGCCACGCCCCACGCCCCGCATCGCCCAAACCCTACGACCCCAAACACCCCAAACCAGGGAGAATCATGTGCAATAAGTGAATTAAAAGAATCAACTGGCAACGTTAAACAAAGCCTTCCAAAAAGGCGGAGCCGGAGCCCTATCACCTATCACCTGCCGCAAGTCGCTCCTCAAACTCCTGCACCTGCTTCTCCATATCCTCAGCGGCCTGCTTGCGACTGATCTCCGAGGTCAGCTTCAGAATCCGGGACACGATTTCCCTGTTGTGGCCGGAAGGGGGCACAGGGGGGTGCACATGGCGGGAAACGGCGGGGGGAGTGACTGGAGTCGGGGTTATGCTGAGAGAGCGGCTTTGGCGCAGGGTGCAGAGCCCCCACCAGCCTCTCCCCTTCCTCTGTTCCCGGCGCAATCATGAGCCCTATCATGGCCAATTATGTCGGGGTCAGCCCAGGCACAGCCGCACCCTAGACGACTTACTGGTAGGTTCCGATGTGGGGCAAGATGCTGGCCTCGGGGCTCTCCGCAATCACCTTGTCCGCCTGCGCAGCCAGCTGACTCAGAGCCTGGTCCAAACCGTCCCCCGGCTGAGTCGCCAGGCGTTGCAGGAGCCGGAACAGATGGATTCGGACCTGCGATTATATGTGGCGTGAGCATTTATTCTTAAGCGATGGTTTGCGGGAATTTGCATGGCTGCGTGCGGAATGCGGAGGGGGCCCGGGTTTGAGGGCGATAGTGGATGGGGAAGAGGAAATGAGCTCCGGAGCTGAGCGACAGTTGCTACCGCAGCACCTGGTTTTGGAGCTGATCTAGTTGATCAATTGACTCTTGGATGCTAACGGGGTCGGTGCTGTCAAGGTTGCGGCCGGTGGACCAGGCTGCGCTGACAGCTGCGACTCCCGAACTCCCCGACATAGGGGACGAAGGCAGCGGCTCAACGCTCTGTGGACAGCTGTGAGGTTCTGATGCAAATTTTTTAACAGGGAAGGTGGCCCAAAACGCTTCTATAAGCTACAGACGAGCGGATGGTAAAGAGGTAGGTGCGATCTACAGCTAGTTATTAACGTGCTTGGCGAAATGAACCACAAGTTCAGAAATCAAACGATAAATCATGGACAGGTGCCAAGACATGGCAAGCGCCAGAAGTAAGTCGATGCATGAGCGGAATACGGCACGCACCAACGGCTTTGGCAGAGGTTGCAGAATAACCTCTTGTAGTGTAATGAACCTTGGTAATGATGCAAAAAATAGCTGACCTCAGCAGCGACACCGGCCTCCTTTCCCCTTTGGAAAGAATTTCCGCGACGGGAACATCCGACAAGAATGGATTTACAAGCAGAAGGGTTAACTGCAGCAGCAGACTGTGTAACAGCTCCTCATGATCATAGCATGATTGACGAACAGCCAGCGTCAGCGCATACCTGGTACACAGCTTTCGTGTTTCCCCAAGCGCCTCAGCCCTTGTACCGCGCTACGCAGGAGTACGCAGGTGCGTGACCTTACAGGTGGCGGGTTGCCGCATAGCCTAAGCAGCCGCAGGGGCTGAGGGGCGGGGAAACCAAACCAAGTAGCCCCGTATCCGGCAGCTGGCCAGGCGCTGAGAGCGCAAACAAAGTTATGCTTGATTCAACTCACCACTGACGTTCAGGCTTCCCGCTTGGCCAGGTTTCGCGGACAACTGCCCTAACACCAACTTCCTGAAAGGTGTAAAATGGTCACCCGACGGCGCCTGTTTGCTCACCGCAAGTGATGACAATTGGTACGGGATATGCGGTGTCGTGCGGATGACGGGGTCCCAGCATCCAGTGCACGCATGGATACGCAGCAGTACCATGCAGCTGCTTGCGGCGCATCAGGATGCTTCATATGCACATCCTTCACCTGCTTTTGCGAAGTGACGACCTAGTAGGATTGATTCACGGGTTCGCCCAGTCGGTCCATTTTGGGCCCGTCTGGTTGCACAGGTTACGATTGTTCGACCTGCCCCAAGACGTTCGGACGGCGGAGCGGCTTGACCACGGCGACCTGCTGCTGCCTTGCGAGGCCGGCGCTGACTCACCAAGTACGGCAGCGATATACGACAACGACGGCCGTGCGTCTCGGAGTGATGCCGCCGGCCCCGACAACTTGTCGCCCGCGCTTCGCATGCACGCGGGCGAGACGGTGTACGACTACTGCTGGTATTCCCGGATGTCCGCTACGGATCCTGTGTCGTGTTGTTTTGCATCGTCCTGTCGCGGTCAGCCAATTCACTTGTGGGACGCATGCTCCGGAACCATCCGATGTTCGTACCGCGGCTACAATGACGTGGATGAGCCCACGGCCGCGTACTCATTGGCATTCAGCCCTGACGGTGGAAGACTGCTGGGCGGCTACAATAAGAGCATCTATGTGTTCGACGTGGCACGGCCGGGCAGGGACTACAAACGCATCATCACGCACAAGCGAAAGCAGCCGGAGAGCATTGCAGGTGGGGAGTTTCATGCAGTTGAGGGTTTCATGCTACGGGTAAGGAGGACAACGTCGTCACCAGGTAGGTTACACTTGACAGGTGGCGAGGTAGCCTGCAAGCCATGATCCACATCTCCACATCCAGAATGAGTTCGTATCCTAGGACCACTTTTCATGAGACTGGTTCATGAAACTCTGCCAATAAAGGATTCGAAGAGGTTTTGGGCTCCTGCTCGTTTTTTTCGGAAACTTGGCCACCAGGAAATGACGCCTGAAAGGGCCTGGGTGTTAGGGAAAAAGCTAAGGACTCCGATTCTTAAGTGCCTTGCGAGGGAGCGCTGGGGCCTTCCATGTAAATCCGGTCAATAACGCGGGATTCTGCGCGTGGCTTACGTCCGTAACGTCGCGCAACCGCGTAAATATGCAGGCATTGTATCCTGTCTAGCGTTCAGCGCCGCTGGCGACGTGTTCGCGGCTGGTACTTACACGGGCGCACTGGGCCTCTTCGATGCGCGGACGTACGAGCTGCTGCTCATCCTCACAGGAAACCGCGGAGGGTTGACACAGGTGCGACACCGTTGCGCACCATAAACGGCTACAATGGTGATGCTTGATTGTTGATCGGCTTGGTCATAGGGCGGCGGCTAGGTGTACAGTAACATTATGTGGCCTACGGGAAGGTTCACGTTTAGTAAGCGCGGGTTAAGTAAGTCACGTTTCCTCGGACAAAGCTCTTCCCGCCCAGTCCCAGTGATTGTGCTTGGCTGCTTGCTGTCGGCTTTTCCTTTAGATAAAAAAATGCCGCGGGTGGCCTGGAGCGGCGTGCGCAAGCTGGTGTATGCATCGTTCATAACCGAATCTGTGTCCCACTTTTCAGGTTATGTTTTCCTCCGACGGCAATTACCTCTACACGGGCGCGCGTCAGGATGACCAAATGTTCTGCTGGGACGTGCGGAACACCTACGAGGCAGTCTATACGCTGCAGAGGGACACAGCCAAAACCAACCAGCGAGTCCAGTTTGACATCGAGCCGTGCGGCAAACACTTGATCACCGGGGGCTGCGACGGTGCACTTACGGTAAGCGCGGGCAGCTACCCGTTTACATATGGCACAGCACCCCAGCATTAGGGATCTACAGTTGAGGCAAGCACACATCGTAGCCAACATACAATTAACAGATGGTTCTTTAAACCCCAAGCAAAAGATGTCAGCCTCGCCTTAAATTTCCAGGGTTTCCGACACGATGGCGCCGACCTACGTGACCCTTTTCTGGCACATGTCCCAAAGTCAGTCAATAGTAAACAGTCAAGTACCGGAGGAACAACAAATCATATACAACACAGATAACCAACGCTATTGCATATGTGCTCGCACTCACCCCCTCCTTCCCAAACCCAAACCTATGCTCCAGGCTTTCGACCTGCAAAAGGGCATTGAGATCGACCGCCAACGCATCGCTGCGGATACGGTGAACGGTGTGGCATTCCACCCCTGTCTAGACCTGCTCGCGACGGCATCAGGTGCGCAACACAGCTAGCTCGACGCGCAGCGGTCCCCGACTCGTTCCGAATGACAGCTACCCCCCAAGAACCTCAGCATATCAGCAATACACAGGACAGAACTGTCGCATGTCTACAAGGCGTTTCGTACGAGGCGAGGCACACGTCGACCCATTTCCCCGTAACCAGACACAGCCGGCGCTGAACCTTCGCTAATCTTTCCCCATCCACCTGGAACCGCAGCTGCCCTGTCGCTTAACCTCAATCCAGCGAGAGCCAGAGAAACTGGGCCGCTCCACTTTCGTTCACCAAGCCACGCCTTTTTCCCTATAGCATTTAGCGTTGCATTATTTCCCTGCACACAGGGCATCGGCGCTATGCTGATTTTGGTGGCGCTGGGGACAGCGATATTGACCAAGCCGCGGTTAGGGACACAAGCAACCGCCACGAGGGCGGTCGGTCGCTACAAAGGCGACCTGCAAACTCCATGCTAGTATGGAGGCTCGATCAACAACAATTGATGGTGCCGGATGTTGTAACATTGGAAGCGCCTGCTCCTGATGAATGTAATATTTGAGTTGCACGCATCAGTGCCTCAGCGCCACCAGCACGCTGCATCTCCCCGTCTTCCCGCCAACATCCAAAGCACGTTATTACATGTGGATAACGGATATGGGCGCTGCTTACCAGCGCAGAAAAGCTGGCGGCAGCTCGCCTAACCTGCAACTATCTTTTCACCAGCGCAAGCCACGCCAGCGACACGTACATGAGCATGACTGGGTACACCGCCAGGGCTTTACGCCTGCGGCAGGTCGATTTAAAAATCCGGTGAGAGCTTTGTAACGACCACGCAATTACGGTGTAGCATTCGGTGGAAACTAGAGCTTTGCCAACTGGTCAGAGCGCGCAGATGTCCGTGCTCGTGGGTGATATGGGCCATCATGCAGCTTACCCTCGTGGAACGGCATTCCCAATGAAGGGGATTGTTGCAAAGGAGGCCCATGCAAGGCAGCCCGCTGTCACCACAGAGCGGATCCACTACGAATCGAGGGGGTCAGCACGGATGTTGGGTTAAGTGTATTGCGTTATGTAAGGTGTGGTGAAGATGTGCGCTACTATGAAGGCATGGGCTGCATAAATGAGCATTGCTGCAAGCTCACGGACGGCAGCACAGCTGCGCAAGGTGACGTCGCAACCCTACCTTCGCCTGCACCGACGCACAAATGATGGCGGCCACCACGAGCGGGAAGAGGCAGTATCCCAGAAGGCACACCGCTTGAAAAAAGACAAGCTCGCCTCCCAACAGAATGACGTTGACGGTCAGGATGATCGCACCTAGTGCTACTTCCGCAAACACCATCTGCAAGCATCCGCACGTGTTACAAACTTCAGGTATACCATGCAGGTGACATGGGTCACAGCGGCGGAAGGGGTGTTTGGGGACACAATTCACAACACGCTTCCCCGCCACCTCCTGAAACCCGTAACCACGGACTTACCGCGAACACCTGCGAGGCATTTTGCTCGCCCACCGAAAGCACAATTGCAAGGACTAGCATGAAGACCTGCAACGCATGTGGTAACCGTCAGAGCAACCTCGATGACGCCCTAGTGCCGCTGGCCATCGCGGGTACAACCCACCAGCGGGCCCCATAGGTCCCAGTTCCTCAGAGCTTGCGCCTGCCCGTGAAATTTCCAGTTCACTGGTATGAGCACAGAACGTAAATTGCGTGCAATGGTAACAATGTCTCGCCACAACGTCTTCCACACTGGCTCGTCAAGCGTGTACTCCTCTGGGATCGTGCTATGCGCCTGGGTCGAGGCTGGAATCGTCGGCGGCGGAGACTGGGGCACGGTTGTTATACTGCTGGGATTTGTCTGCACATCTTGAAAGAGCTGCAACACGACGCGGAAGGCCCAAGGTCAAGGGTAGCGAACAATATGGCTAGAAGGCAGCCGGGTGCCTCGTGTTTCTCACCCCTGGAGGAGGCGCAACTTGCGTATTAACATTTGAAGGTCCGCTCCTAAGGGGCCACATTATGCACTATGATGGTGATTGGCTATGGGTAGTTGCAAGACCGCTAAAGACGGAAGTTTACGGAATATTTAAGGCCAAGACGTACAAATGACGACAAGATTTGCGCTTCAACAGCGCATTGTGCATCCTGGACGAACAGACGGATGTATACGGAAAACCAACAGCAAGGGAGTCCAAAATACGTACTATCCCACCCGCCCAAAAGTTCATCATATTTAGGTACAATTGTTTTGTATTGTACCTCTCTGCTGACAAAAGGCTATCAAATCAAGCTGCATCTGGCGGCAGCTGAATACCGACACCTGCATATGGCCGATAATCTAGGGCCGCTCGGAAGAGGCAGAAGCAAGGATCCCCTTGATGAGCTTGGAGGTCTCGTAGGTCAAACTCTCAATCTTTTCGACGGGCAGGCCGCAGCGAAAGGCCCTGAGCAACTCGTGGACGTCTATGGCGCAACCGCAAGAGCGACAGCTGCAACAGATAACGTCATCGCTCAGTCTATGGATCTTGACTTGCTGGGAACCTCCAGCACAGCGCAAGTTGCTCCAGGCCCCCTTGCGCGGAGCAACACCTTTGGACAAGAAGCCGAGATACCGCTATTTAATGACGAAGTACAGATAGGTTTTACACATGTTGTGGAGGAGGTGCAGTCTCCGTCATCCAGCCCGCAGAACGAGCCAAGTGAGCGCCAACTGCCTTCAGCTGTCTCGCCTTCTGCGCTTGCATGACCTGTTACAACAACGAAATACGGCTACTCCCATGGTAATCTCGTCAATCTTTGCGTGCATTTTTCCAGAGCCCATCGAGTCCCGGTCCGAAGTGGGCCCTAGCGGCTACCACCTGGTTTCAGATGGGCCTAGCACGAGCACCGGCGAACCCAACACGGGCCACCTCAACGAGCCCCCTCTCATACGTGTGTGGATTCGCGAACCGGAGCGCGTGGAGGGGACGAACAAGCTTGGGATGCGCACTACGTACTTCACGTACCTGGTCCGGACAGAGAGCCAGCTGCCTGGCCTGCGTACCGACGGCTCGGAAGTTCGACGCAGGTTTTCGGAATTCGATGTGAGTCCAGGCTGCCCTAAGGACAAGCGCGTGATCAGCATTCCACAAGTTCTAAGCCATAGGGCTAGCGTCGTACACTGTCTCCTCTCAACGACCTAAATTTGCGAGGCCAAGCATTAATGGGATTACATGTACAGCGTTGCTAGGTGACATAGCTTTGAGCTTTTGTGCCACTTTCTTGCGTCAGGCGTTGCACAAGGTGGTGAAGCTGCAGTACCGTGGCTACATCATTCCGCCACTGCCCGAAAAGTCCTTTATTGAGGCGAAGCTCGCGCACGAGGACTTTTTGAGGCTGCGTCGCGCAGACCTCCAGGCAAGTATCGTAAGGACAGCTTTTTAGCGGTTGGTTCTGAGGGCATGGTGTGGGTGGGCTCCCAGTTGGAGTGGGCTCGTAGGCTCCCAGTTGAAGTGCGTTCCTTTGGCCTCTGGCCGTGTGGCGAGCTTCTTATTGACACATCGGCTTGTGTGCAAGGGGGTGTTATCGTATTTATCCGTATTTTGCTTTTAGCTCTAATAAAAGGCCCTGCGGCCCGTAGCCACATGTCCAGGAATAATACTTCGGCTGCCCCGCGGTCATGTAATCCTTACCATTCTTTTAAGAGTTCAATTGGTGGGCAGCAGCAATAGCTTCTTGGGTCTTTTTTTGATACAGTGCATGAATAGCTTAAGCTTTGGACGGCTGATGGCTGCAGGCTTTCCTCCGCGGCATTGCGCAACACCCTGTGCTGCGCGAGTCGGAGGCGCTCAAGCTGTTCTTGCTGCAGCCCGGAGAGCTCCAGTACAATCCAGCATGGACGGCGCTTCTCCACAGCGTTGGGGGTAAGCCGCGTGGTTAAGCGCCCCATACTTCGCCTGCCCCAGTGCACGTGCGTAACCGACCATGCAGTAGTCCTTGTCAGTTATTTTTCAATTTCTAAATGTCTGCTGGCATGCATCACTCAGGTCGTTCGTGCGCGCTGGCTGTTTGCACGTTGGGAATTCTGTCTTTTTAATCATCACCACGTTGCTCATCCACGGCCTTGTGGGTCTGTAGTGTCCTACTGGGGCCTCCTTGCTTAGGGCCGGCTCGTGGCAATACCAACCCGACGCCGGACTCTTTACTGTCTGCGGGATCTTGACGTGTCCCCATTAGGCTCAATGGAGAGCTCCGAGGGCACGGCCAGGTTGCTGACGACGCAGGGCGCGGCCACTGCCACCTCCAAGGCAGTTGCCGGGCTGAACAGCCTTGTTTCCTGGGTGCGGCACAACGTCACGAGCAGCAAGCGCGAGCTGGACGAGGAAGAGCAGCAGCTGCGGCATGTAAGGACGCTGCCCAGGGCAGCATCAGCGGGTTGCTGGGCAAGGGCCAGAACGGCCAGCACAGGAGATGCACGTAGTGTGTCTTGCACGGATAGGCCTCAATTTCACTAAGCCTAATTGTCCTGAGGTGCTCGCTTTGTGAACTTCTTGGTCCCGGGCCTACATGTGTGAGCGTCGTCGTGCTACTTGCCTTGCCTGGCTTAGTTATGGACGGCCATACGAGGGCCATATGAACCTGTAGAGGCCTGTGGCTTGCCTGTGCGTGCAAATTCAGTCAAAGATTATGCACTGTAGTGCGCAGTGCTACATGGGGACGTGAGCAATCTTGCCCGTTAGCAAGCTGTATGCTTTGCCGCTGTCGACCCGCGATTCTGCGCCATGGTTGTCCCTATCTTGCACATCCAAACACGTCATTGCCTTTTCCAAAGCCATTACAACTAAGCGAGTGTGCGTGCCGCGCCTCCCTATTTCACTTCCATTACTTGCTGGCGGTCGTTGCTGGAAATCGCTGGCCAGGCCAAGGAGCTCATGCGTGACCTGGAGCGCCTCCTGCAGCTGTGCTGCGAGTCGGCGCGCATCATGTGCAGCCACATGGACTCTCTGGGCGCGGACCTGTACGAGCTGGGGCGCAATATGGGGATGCTGTCGAAGGTATGGGGCCTGATTCGTAGAATAAAGAGTTGGCCATTGTCCACAGCGACTGAAGGGGTGATTTAAGATGAACGGCAGAACGTGTACTGTGGATGGGAGGATCAGCTTTTGTGACATTGTGTGCTGCTATGCAGTGTGAACATCTGAGCTTGCGCCCTGGTGCGTTGACAGTGGATGTGCCTGCATGGACAGCGTGATTGTGTGATCGGCAATCCTCATGAACAACTGTTTCTTTTTAACCGTATGGATGAGGCTTGTGGCTGACGCTGTCCCGATTATGCACCGTGCGCCACGGGTCATGCAGTGGGAGGAGACCCTGCGTGCAAACGTCGGTTCCTACACTGAGGCCGGCTTCAGCGCCAGCAAGCGTGCTGCGCACTGCAAACAGCTCAGCTTCGCTAGCGCGCGGCAGCACACAGTGTGGAAGACGGCGTCGGTGAAGACGGCCGCCAGTCTGGTGAGAAGAAGCAGCAGCAGGGCAAGACTTTAACAATAGTTAATGATCTACACTCGCGTGCATCGGGGTAATGTGCGTCTCAGAACGGCACCGTCTGGTTCTGTCCCAGTACGCTGAGCATGGCAGACTCCTTTTGACACCGCCACTTCAGCTCCGCACTCATGTCATGGTAACGGGAAAGCAGAGGGGAATTTGCGCGTCCCCAATGCGTATATTCCCTAGATGTGCACAACGAGGCGTAGAGCGTGTGGCTAACCGTCACAGAGATTGTAGGTCTCGTTTTCTGGATCTGTTGCGCTTGTGCCTGATCGTCGTACTGGCTCCTGTCAATTACGTCTCAGGTCGCATTGCATGACTACTATATCGTAATGCCCGAGGCGGTGGCGGCGCTGGAGGAGCGAGAGCGGTGCCTAGACCAGATTCAGGCGCTGGAGGCTGAGCTCATGGCAAAGCATGCCGACTTGAACAAGACCACTGGCGGCAGCAAGGTACGTGCATTTGCGCGTGCCACACATACATCTTCAGCACCGTCGCATCTGCGGCGGGAGCCACTTTTATAAACGAAGACTTCCCACCATTCCAGATTCATGGATCTTGTCATTGTAAAAATAGGCCATGCTCATACAAGGGTGCCGTCCGCCAATCAAGCATTGTCAACACGCATTAGGACGCATGCAAAACCGCTGCGCCTGGTGCGTTGCGGCAAGGTGCCACGTTAGCTGCGCGCTTAGCGTGGCCTTTTAGCTCTTCCTTTAGCTGCGTTTAGCCCGGCCTTTTGGCTCTGGTTGTCTAAACTGGGCATTCTCGGCGTCCCAAAGGAATCCATGCTATGAACATATCCTTCAGATAGCGTAATGGTGTATATTGTAGAAGCGCCGGTATGGTGTGTCCTGCAGGCCGCTTCATCCAACCGTGACCGGCGTGCATACACTCTGACCAACACCGTGGACCGCCTGGAGGAGCAGCTTAAGGTCTGTCGCGATAACTACGTACTCATCAAGAGGCGCAACATGGAGGAGCTACGCCGGCTGCACCTGACACGCGAGAAGGTAAGCGTGGCCCTCGCCCCGGCTTAGCTTGACTGGCGTTTGGCTGGGCTGGACTGGGTGTTTTTGAGGCAGTTAGGAAAGGCACGTCGATGCGGGTAACGTCGAGCGCTACTCTGTGTGCATGCATATCCCTGCTCGGTGTTCGGGGCGCCTGTCGGTTAGGTTACGAACTTTCGATGTCCACGTGTCGCGCCGTGTTATGCGGTTTCGCGGTTTATGCCATGGAATAATTTAATCAGGTGACTTCGTTGGCCCAATGGAACCATATAAACTTACCACCTCCGGTCCTTTTCTTTACGGATTGCGGATTGGTATTGCTTCTCCTCGTTGACTCCGCCGCCTACGACTATTACCCCGATGCTGTCCGAGCACACAGGACTTCCACGAGATGATGGCCAGCTTCTCGGCCTTACAGGCTCAGCTCCTGCAGGCATCCGCGGACATGTGGCGCACAACCGCACGCCAGTTCGCTGGCGAGGCGGTCACGCCGGCGGGGTCCGCGGGGGGACCCCAGGAGCAAGACGACGATTGAGCGGCCTGGAGGCAGAGGGTGTCCGAACGGATTGCCAGCAAAGCGCAGGGAACCCAACGGATTGCTAACAGAGCGCAGGGAACCCAGGTCATTCCGTATGTGATGTGTAGCTGTCGTAGTCAGCATTGTTCCTACACAAATAATACTTTCTTCTCTCCTTCGCCAGCTGCCAAGCCCTAGCGTGATGCACAACTCGCGTTCTTTTAGTATGTGCAGGGCGATAAGTCAGCAAAAAAGTGATCGTCAAGGCTCCATTGGCCGGGCGCAAAAGACCATGCAAATGTGAGTAGTGTGACTTGCGGCTGTGGTCAGCCCGCGTACAGCATCAGCAACGTTTGCGTTTTAAAAGGGTGAAGGATTTTATGTAATGGTCCGTAAGGGCAGGATGGGGACTGCCAGAACCTGTTTACGGTTTGTAGTGGTGTGGCTTGTGTTCAGATGATCAGTTGTCTGGCACGCAACCATGTATAGCTGTGTCTGCATACATATGGAATTTCTCTCCCGTTCATAACGTCGGTGTACAAGAATCCGGGGGCGCTGCTCGTTTAGGGACGGGAATTCAACACTAGGGTATATACGCACCTTCTGCCTTGTTCGGAACCCCGATATAAGTTTCCTGGAGCAAATGCGAACCTCGTGCGTAAGCTATGTTTGGTTGTAACATAATATGCGTCGCACCCGACTGTTTAACTGCCATTTGTTCAGTTAGTTGCCGCATGGGGTTTCATCACATGTGGTTGCTGAGCAGCTCGTCGTCCAGCTACATCTTCAAGGCAAATAGGCCCCATATACACAAGCCGTAAGGCACGGGACAGTGTTACCTACACGCTTGCTTGCACGATCAAGGCGGTCGCTAATGGAAGGTACTACCGACCTTGATGCGGACAGTGAGACAGTAGATTCGATCGATCCAACCAAACGACAATCTACGTCAAAGCCCAACTCCTCGAATACCGCATCCGGTCCTTGGACTGACCTTGTCAACGCCTTGTCAACGAAGGACATGCCTAGCCGGTGATTAAGACAAGTCGCCTAATCAGACGCGTTCTCATGCATGCGTGACGCCAGAATCTCCCTTCTCCGCGCCTCCCAGCGCTGCCCCTTTTAAACTCGCATCCCTAGGGCCTTTTGCCCCGGACAGCATTGCCGCCGCCGCCTCGGCCAGCTGCCGCAACTGCTTCTGCCCCACACCAGCTCCCTCACCACCACCCACCACCTCGCACGCAGCCGCGTATATGTCCAGTACCGGAAAGCACGGATCCAAAACCACAAGCCCTCGCTCCCTGTTGCCCGCACCGCTGCCTCCCTCTGCACCTGCCACTGCATCAGCTGCTCCCGACTCCTCCTCCCCTGATAGTATGCCTCCTTGAAGCGCGACCCGCATTCCGCCACCATTGCTGCTGCCGCCGTTACTGGTGGCATAGTCCGTTGACAGGATCTTGAAGGCCAGTGCCAGAACATCACCGTCGCCTGCTGCAGTCGCAGGCGCAGCCGCGGCCGCGGGCAGCAGCTCCTGTGTTGGCGCCTCCCCCGCTCCCGAGTCCAGTTGCTGCGGCTCCGCGCGTTGGTCGTGAAGCTGCCGGTATCCATGCAGTACCAACACGTCCAACAAAAGCATTACTTCGTCACTCCACAGCTCAGCCGGACCGCTGCTGCAACTTCCTCCACCTCTGCCACCGCCACCCTTTTCCCCCTTTCCCGCCGCATCAATTGCACGGCGCCAGAGCTCATGCGCCTCGCGTGCTGCGCGCCGGGCCGCCTCAGGCTGGCGCGACCAGAAAACGCTGCGCGCCTCCGTCACGCCACAGGCCGCCTTTGCGACCCAGGCCGCCGCGGGCACTGGCATCCCCGTGGCCCCCCCCGGGGACGATGCGGTGGCGGCGGCGCCAGCGCGGCTATGCCGCATCCGGTAGCGCGCCTCGCGCCTCAGGCGTTGCTCCGCCGCCACCATCAGGTTATGCTGCTGCTGGCAGGCCTTGTGCTCGTCCGCCGAGTTCAAGCCCAGCGGAACCAACTCAACGTTGTCACACCCGTTAGGCTGTGGAGCGCTTCTCGCACTGACGGAACTCGTCATGTTCTCAGACAGGAACAATTGGAGGATGAGGGGGGTATCCGACCCGGTTGCTGTTTCCGCAGTCGCTGGCGCTGATGCCGGTTCATCTTGGCCGGATCCGCCACCGCCACCGCCCGGGTTTGCTCCCGCCACCACGGCTTCAGGCAAGTTACATCGGCGCCGGGCGTGTAGGCACGCCCACAGCCCGCCACGGCATTCCGCGTCGGCCACCTTCACTTCAATAATTTCGAAGTTCCCGTCGGCAAACTCGGATCCGGAGCTAATTGACGTTGTAAGGGCGTCGAGAGCTTTGGCTACTTCATGAGGACTGAATTGCAAATCAACGTTAAGGAACAACTCCAGACCTGTAGCTTCGCAGCCTGCAGCATACGTGCCGCGGCTGAGGCTGCCCGTAACGCAAATCCGCTCCACAAGCGCCGCACCGTGACCGGATTTTGCGTTTCGGAGCGCCTTTCGCGCACATTGGAGCAAACCGATTAGATCAGCAGGATATGTTGACATGGTTATTTGAGTGCAGCCGTGAGGACAGGGACGCCCTTGCGCGCCTCGAGCAGCGCTTCGGGGTCTCTGGAAATCAAGACTATATGCAGAGCAACGCCCAAGGCCACACAATCCTGATCGCAGTTGCAAAGATTGTTGATGCGAATTCAGCATAAAAAGGAACCAAAATGGATGATGTCTACGTGGGTCTTGTGCGAATGAAAGGTGATCGCAATCATCGATCTGTCGGAACTTTATCGGAATCGGTATGTGAGAATTCCGTGCTTTCCGCCACAAAACGTAGATTCAGCGCATCTATTACGAAAGATCAATCCGCTTAAATAGGATTTTTCTGCAACCTGAGCGCTTGCGCTGTCCTCAATCGTGACAAGTACGGCACAGTATGATGCCGGAGCACTTGCGAAGAAGGGAAGCGGTCATGAAACGCCGCAACCCACCCCGGCAGTACCTCCAATTCATTTCATCCTCCAATCTCCCATCCCAAATCCTTTGTCATTTTGCATAACTCCAAAATGTCCATTCCCATGTCCATCGGTGCCACCGCCACGCGCGGTGTAGATTCTCCCCCCAAGTCGCTGTGCTTCGAGATCTCTGCTAGGATTGAAAAAGAATGACCGACTATGCCACATTCATGAAAACACTCGTGCCAAGACACTGTTTCTGGCGTCCTTAGTAGCTATCAGTCAGATGAGAGGCTCTCAAACCCGGACTCACTCGTCAGCTGTTTGTTTGTTTGTTTGGTTGGTTGGTTGTTGGCTAAGTGTCCCGTCGTATCTCGCATCTCCCGCTTGGTTGGTTGATTGGCTGATGGTTCGATCTGTCTGACTGATTGGCTTCTCCATCAGAGTCTAAAGTTGTGAATTTTCTTGCCCCCATCAACGGTGACTGGTGAAGCACCTTTAGACCCACCATCACAAGTGCTCATAGGCAGGTGGTCGTACCCATCCGACACTTGTCATTTCAGGTGGCTCGCAAATTTCAGGCCGCGTCGTACCATCGGACTGTATAGAGGAGAAGCTCTTGCGCTGCATATCGCGACTCGATGTACATACCTTAACACACGCAGCGTCTCCCCCATGGCTCGCTTGTGTTTTAAGCATATGTTCTCATCCCCATGCTTTCAAAATGTCGACAGCTTATCCTTCGTTCATCCTGTCCTCCCATTATCACATCATCCTTCCGTTATTAGCTAAAGTCCCTCAATTACTTTTATGTTAGTTACAAGTGCCGCACGAGTGCGGGGGCCCCCGTCAAAGCCGTGAAGCCGTGGACTATATATATATATATATATATATTGAAAGTTGGTTACACCGTACAACCGACGGCGGTTTGGGTCCTGCCAACGAGACCCCTCCTCATCCAGTCACCCGACATCTGTAGAGACAGCCATCAGCCATCACCACCAGTAAAATGTGCTCTTGTCCAAATTTAGTGCGCGGTTCGTTCCATTTGTCCCCACTTTCGCGAGGGCGCCTCAGTTGAATTGTAATGAGGGGAGTGGGCATTGGTCGATAGACGTCATTAAGTAATAAGGCGGCGCTTGGCTCCTACAGTGTGGGGGGTAGCGGTGTGTGCACCGTCGATTCGTTATTCCTTAGGCTTTTCTCTTACCTCACCTCTAATTGGGACTCATCGTCCTGTTCCAGATGTTCCAGATGTTCCAGATGTTCCAGATGTGAGACGTGAGGTATAGAATACTTTCTGAAAACCATATGTTACGGGATAGGAGCGATGCAGATCCTTTCGCGGGGTCGTAGTTGCGGTGTGTTTGCAGTGTGTTGTTGTCGTAGACCGAGGGCGCGGCTCCTCGACTTCCTGATGGCTTTCAGAATCCTTTAAGACATCACATGACTGTCGAACGGTGTCGAAGGCATCGCCCTTGGCCCACTCGCGTTACGGGTCAAAAGGGGACCCACGGGACTCCCCGGTCGTGTGTATGACTTACGAGTGTTCGATGCTGAGGAGGCCGGGGCTGAGAAATGGGCTACAATGCAGCTGATGATTACTGCGAAGCATTGTATTGAAAAGAATGTCGCAGTGCCCCCTGCACTTTCTTGGCATGCAAGAAAGGGCGCAAACGTAGCTCCTTTCGCATACACGCCTGCATGTGGACATGGCATTAGCATGAAGCAAGGTCCTTTCCAGACTGGGAAACAGTGTGAGAGCTGAAAAGCTGATCTGTAGCCTCCAGAAACCTCCAAAACGGTACTGCCGACTTGCCATTTCCTAAACAAAAACAGAGGGTAACCTTCATGTAAACATGTTTGTTGATGCAGAGGATGTATCCAAAACAGTGCATTAGAATTTTTGTTCCGAGTTGATGCACAGCATGGGTCTTCACACTTGCTAACCGAAGAAGGTAGGCTCCAGGTACCGCGCTGGTGCCATAATGCGGTTATCCACCTTGGCTTTAGCAAGTGACAGGTCTGAATCTCGTGTTTTTTCTCCTTTACAATACTTAGAAGGTTTCCTTGAGAGCCTACTCTGGTATGCGGAAAGCATGCTACGGTGGCGCCAGTTGCACTGCTGCTAGTTGCAGGCTATCCGGTACTTGTAACAGCTTTGATTCTATGCCAGCAACAGTCACATTTTGAGCATTCCTCAAGAAAGGACGCATCCCTGTATCATTAGTCCCAAGGAAACATCGGAAACGGCGGTGCAGCAGGAGGAAAAGTATCCTGGCTTAAGGAATCATGTGAGCAGATTACTGCCTGCTTCTTGTGTCAAGAAATTACATAAAGAAATGGACAGAGGGCATTCCTCATGGGCATGGCATAATCCCGCCCTAGCGAACTACTGGCAACGGTCCCCAACGCGGCTCCATGAGTTTGATAGGAACTGCGCCAAGAAGCTCAGTGCACAGATGGATTGCTAGCCACGAAAGAGATACGTGGAGGCGCACAGTCATGCAGATTCACAAAAAGGGAAATCAACGCCGTACAGTACTTTTCCGACCTGTTTTTGTTGTCCTTTCGGCTCCCATTGTCGGCAGTTTTACCATGTTATTGTTGATTATCTTGCAGAAAATTTTGATTAGAAATCTCAGTCATGCCTGTCGTCGCGATGCACCCTGTTGAGCCGCCTTCCGTTGAGGGCTCCAAGGTGAGCGTCGGGACTTAAGTGGCGGTCAAACATTGTCATACAAAAAGCAACGGTATAATATCGACTATAGCGTACGTTGCGGGCGCTGCGGGAATTCACTTTGACAAGACTTGCTGACTCGGACATGGTCCCTGTAGGCCCCTTACCCAGCCGCTGAGCAGCCGGCCGAGGACTCGCCTCTGTACAAGACAGACGAGTTCCGCATGTATTGCTTTAAGGTGCGCTTGGGAAGGCTGAAGATTTTGTTAAAGCGCCAAGGCGGCTGACCGGTGCCCGCCCTGTCTCCAGGTGCTCCCATGCAGCAAGCGCTACGTGCACGATTGGACGGTCTGCCCCTTTGCCCACCCTGGAGAGAAAGCGAAGCGAAGGGACCCTCGTGTGTTCACCTACACGGGCGTCGCCTGCCCCGATATGAAGAAGGCAAGTTCGGACGCCATCCGACGTGGACACGCCTTGTCTCCGGCTGGCAACCCCGTTTGATCTCTGTAGCTCGTATTATTTAGAAAATTTAACTATCGTATGCGCGTGTCTAAACCGGCTAAGAGGCGCCTTTTTGTGCTGCCGCGTCTTCGTCCTCCCGCAGTGCCAAAGGGGTGATGCCTGTCCTTACGCTCATAACGTTTTTGAGTACTGGATGCATCCAAGCAGGTATGCTTTTTAAGGTGGTGAATGTTTTCCGGCTGTTACTCTTGCAGTTGTTGACCAGCATCCCGCGTCCCAAGCACACTAGGATGCAGATCGGTTCTGTCGTTTGAGGCTAATTTTGCGTTCCAAATACTCAGGTATCGCACCCAGCTTTGTAACGATGGGATTGGGTGCAAGCGGAAGGTTTGCTTCTTCGCGCATACTCTGGACGAGCTGCGCGTCTCCAGCGTAAAGCTGCTTCCATCAGAAATCGCAGCTGGAGCAGACGCTAGCGCATTTGACTTGGACCCGTTTCGGGTATCGAGGTCGGATTCTGGGCGCAGCTCGTCAAAGTCCGCAAATTCGTCGTCATCTTCAGCGTCTGCGGCGGGGAATGAAGCACTTGTCGACGCGCTTCGTGCTCAGCAGCAACAGCAACATCAGGCCAAGAAGACAGCCGCCGCTCTGCAGCGCACGGCATCCCGCGGCCTGGCGGCGGAGCTGCAACAGCTGCAGGTGCGTTCACGTCCCTGTCGCTGCCACTTTCCATACTTCGTCATGCAAGCAAATATTCAAATATTCACCTCGGGGTCCATGGAATTGTAAGGCTGCAACCTGATTTTCTTCATGTGCATATCGATAGCGCGCGCTCGACCGCCTTCTGCTTTGCCACCCTTGCAGGCTCTGCAGCAGCTGCAAGCGGTGTTGGCGAACACGCCCGGGATTGGTGTTGTGCAGCCGCAGATTCAGCAGCAGGCCCAGGTCGATACGTTCTTAAGCAACATGATGGCACAGATGCGGCTGGGTGGCGCAGCGGCCCAGCAGCATGTGGCGAACCAACTTGGGTCGGCAACCCCGGGCCTGCTAGACGTCGTGGTGCAGCAGGCTGTGCAGCAGGTGATTGCCAACAACGCTGCGCAGCAGGCCGCGGCAGCGCTGCTGCTGCTGCAGCAGCAACAGCAGCAGGCAGCTGCTGCCGTCGTGCAGCAGCAGCAGAACCAGCAGGCGGCCCAGGCTCAGGCGCTGTTCGAGCATTTGCTGCAGCAGCAACAGCAGCAGCAGCAGCGCCAGGCGCAGGCGGTAAGTGGGGGACCCGGCTGCCAGCCGGATCAGCAAGTCGTTCAGGCTGCACTGGCGATCCTCCAGCAACAGCAGGCAGCAGCTCAGCAACAGCAGGTACCGCCTCTTGGTCCCATGGGTTTCGGAGGCCCAGGCCCAACGGGCCCCATGGCCATCCAGATGGGCTCCGTGGGCGTGGGCATGGACCCGCTATGCCCCGCCAGCCAGGGCGTCGCGCCTGCCCTGGGCCCGCACCCCATGGGTCATAAGCCGGGGCAGCCCTCTTTGTCGGGTTCGGTACGGTCCTCGACCACCGGCATGACGCTGAACGGACCGCCTTTGAGCATTCCCAGTGCGGTGGGTGCCAGCATCAAGCACAATGCTGAGAACATTATCCCGCAAGGTATGCCCTCCTCCCCGCGCTCACTGGCCGTTGGATCGCCATCTGGGTCGCCGCCTCTTGAGACGCCGCTGTCATCTACGCTGTCGGGGCATGCTGCGGCATCCGCGGCGCTGAGCGCCGCTGCTACAGCCGCTAGCTACTACAGCCAGGAGGCCAGCCGTAGCAGCTTTGAGAGCTACCGCAGTAGCGAGCTGGAGCTTGGACTGCAGATGGCTTCCTCGGGCCACCATTCGAGCGGCCCCAGCAGTGGAGGGGTTCAGCGCACGTCCCTCGACCTTCTACACCACGTGTCGCAGCAGCCAGCGAAGTATCCAACGGCGGACTCGCTCCTGATGGGGTCCGTGCCTTCGCCCTGCAGCCCGCCGATAGCCGATGATGCCTTGGAGGCTCGCCACCGCCAGTTGCTGATGGCGGCGGCAGCGCACACCTCTGGAAATGGTATGGCGCCCATGAATAACGCGCCTGGGCCTGGCGTGCATGCCGGTCCTGTTGTATCGGAATTGTTTGGGGATAAGGTCGCCATGGCAGCGTTCACTGCCGGGCAACAATGCCCCGCGCCATCGTTTGGCTTGTAAACGGCAGCTTTCCGTACCAGCTGCTAGGTTTAATGCGATTCCGTGTCGGCTGCCTGAGCATTGACGGGCAGCATGCGTGGTGATTGCAAAGACCGCTGGTATGTTTGACGTCTACGCAACCATCTGCGGTGCTGCATGTGATTTGGGTTCGCAAATTGTATTGTGGACCACACTTTTGGTTTCATAAGTTGGCGCACAACCTGTTGGCAGGAATTTTTGCGACGTCCTGAATACGAAGATCTGGAGACACCGCGGACTGTTTTATAATTGCCCCCCATGGTGAGGGCAATGCAAATTGGCACACACGTTGACGACACGCGTTGCTCGCGACCGTGGTCGTTTTTTTGCTCAGCACGTTGCAGCTGGCTGAACGTCGAGATGGGTGGATGTGAATTATAATCGCCGCTATGTACGGCTGTTTATGGGCCGTAGTTATTAGCGTGCTCGATTTTGCGCGATGGTCTCCCGGAGATACAAGACGAAAACCTTTGGCAAAGCATTTTTTCTCGTTTGCAAGATTGCAAGGTGCTCGGGAATGCATTGATTGTGCGGTGGCGGCAGGCCCAGGGGTTGCATGCAAGTCGCAGCCGCCCAGTTTGTTCCCGCCTGCCATGTGTAAACCGGTGGGCTCTGTACACAGGACCACTCGCGTCTTATGTAGCTGTCGAGGCTAGCGCTTGGGATTTTCCAGTGCACCAAGCGCAGCTGTGGAGCTGTTTCGCTGCAGTTATGTTCTGTCCCATCGTGTGCCGTGTGCCACGTCTGTATCCGAACCCCACGCATGCCAATGCCATGATCCGTCACCCCTATGCATCATGGGAGGTGGTGCGCTGCCTAGACTCATCTTGTACTCGGCGCCGGTGAGGCAGAAGAAGTGCACTCCGGCGCCGCGAACATAATTTGGATGAGCATGGTGTTCATGGCCGCGGCGGCAGCTGGTGGTGGGAATTCTCGCGTGCATCAGGTGCAGAAAATATTGACGGTGGTGATGGTTTATGACGCATGCTGTCGGGTTCTGCTTGTCCCGTAGTTCCGTGGATTTTTTTCCAACTTTTTCTTTTCGGAAGATGATGAACGCTAACAGCCCGGCACAGGGCCTGCCATATGGAGGTCGTGACGTTCATTTGTTGGGCGTGTTGTTTATTCGTGTGAAAAGCGCACTACTTTTTGCCATGCCTGGCCGCGCGAGACAGTTTTGGTGGCGGCGCCCAAGATTTTTGGTGCATCCGCGGCGACCCTGAGTTCAAGCTACAGCCCTAAGTTTTTTACATCCAGCATGTGTTTCCTTATAGTATGAAGGTTTGCGGCTTGGGAAGAGGCATAGCGCTCATCGAATGCCGATCAGTGGCATCGTGTAATGTCGTGCATGCCGCTGCATGCCGACAAGATGGCGCAGCCTAAGGCCATAAAGCACTTGCCGGCCCGCAACCAAACCCCGTTATTGTCTTATGGGGACTGTACTGAGCTTTTTTCCTGTGAGCGTACTTATTGAGCGTGAGACGCGTGGTGTGTTGAAAAAGAAAGCTGGAATGCATGTTTTCCCTTGATGTCATGAAAATTGTTTTGGGGTCCAATCAGGCTGCTGCCGTAAATCGTAAAGGGGGCCCGAGCATCATTCGGAGGATTAGTTATGGGGGGGCTGCGCAGCTTTTTTTGAAAGTTTCTTCTAAAATGAGAGTGGATGGGCGAAGCCAAAGCGAAACATCTGAGGGTCCTGTATCAACACGCGCGATTGGTTTGCATGTGTGGAAATGCTTTGGGGTGCAGTTTGTAAGTAACATTTTCCTTCGCGTGCCGTGGAACAGGATGGAACTCCGTGCCCAGTCCACACAAAGTTGCTAGATTCGCAAAGGCAGTGAGCAGTAACAGGCATGGTATGCGAATACTACGGCAGCTATGGCAAAGTCTGAGCAGTGTAAGGCATGGCGTGGCTATCGGTGTGAATCCGCAATAAAACTCTCACATGTCGAGGTTTCCGCGCCTACAGCCCATAGCATTTACAGTCGACACACCCAGCAGTTGAAGTCAGAATCCCTTGTAATAGGTATCGGTATACACCGGGAGGTGCAGAGAGCTGCGAAATGCGCAACGGCGACGAAACCCGCGGGAAGTCGTACACATGACAGCGCGTGGTGACAGCCGTTCGTGTATGAAGCGGAAAATTGGTTGCAAGATTCATGTTCTGGCAGGATGGCTCTGAACGAATAACGTGGATATTGCCTTGAAGGCTTACATGGCTGCACGATTATTCACTGTCGGTGATGTTGTGTGTGGGATTCCTCCCAATTTAGATTACTGGTGGGCAGCTCAGGTAGCTGACATTACCCATGTTCCCGAAAAACTTCGCGAGGACCTCAATCTCAAACTCCGGGAGTACACAGACGGCGTGCTGCTGCGATATCTTGGCTCTCCAACTTTTGAGTATGCTATATGCGGAGAACAGGATGTTGAATACTTGCGCGATGAGACGGACACGGACAAGCTCTTTGTGCCGGCCAGGGGAAAGAATCGCAAGGTGCGAGCCCATAAGCGAAACTCTGACCGTTTGCAAATGTATCTTGTCTCATGTCAGCTCGCCTTTTCTTGGACTCGGGACCACGTCAACACTGCGCAGGCTTCCGCATTTCACTGACGTTTTCCAATTCCGCAACGTTCAACGCCTGTTCCAGGCTGCGTTGCAGGCGATCGACGAGGCGCGGTGCTTGCTCCGTCAACGTTTGCACAGGAACCGTACACAACTACCGTTGGGCACGCAGCCGTCGGGTCCTGTCGTTCTGGACTTGGGTGACGAATGGACTTGGCCGGATGAGTTGCGCCAACGCGCTTTTGTGCCACCACCACGCGCCTTGACAGCTGATGAGTGCGCAAGCATATCGGCGGCCAGTACGATGCGGTCCTTGCAAGCAGCAGCAGCACGGAGCGAGCTGCCATTCGAGGTAGGACCACTGGACCGTGCCTGATGCCGTTACAAAGGAGTGACAGAAAGGTCGAGCTGTGGTTTGCGTGAGGTGGTGCGTTGAGTTCTGAACGGGAAGGGCTGCATCCCCCCATCCAGCCGACCGTACTGCTGGTTACCGCTGCCCCTGCGCAGAATACATGTCCAAGAGAGGGTCATTCCAGGCTTGCAGCTATTCAGCTAACCCTTGATTTGAACGATGTTAGCGAAACGGAGTGACCCAACTCCGTTTTCCCTGGTTATGTGCATTCCTCCCTGACCTGTTGCTGCAGCCCATCCTGAATTCTCTTCCTCTGAACGTAGTAACCCAGAACTATGAACCCTACATTTACTGCCCACAACACATAATTCGCAACGTTAGCAAACCATGGGTTTGGTAAAGCCCGCGTGTTTGATTCGGTGGGCGTTCGTCACACGCCCACACGCCCACATGCGCAACACCGCGCGCTAACAGCTTCACAGCCACCACGGGACCCTCTGCTGGGCAACTTTAGTATAATCCTCCGTTCGGCCTGCGGTCTGAATCACACGCAAGCGCAGGGGGAGGAAGCGCTGTGGGCCAGGCTGGTGCATGGCCGCCACGTGAGCAAAGGCCAGCAGCTCCGCCAGCAGCTCCGAAGCCCAGCAAGCGCTTGCAGGGTTGCAAATACAGATGCGAATGCCGCTGCGGACTCCCCAGCCATCTACCAGGACCCCAACCAAGCCGGGCCGGCGAAGGATAACGCGGAAGCTCGCACACGGACGCCATGGAACGCAGCCGCCTCTCTGCCTGCTGCGACGGAGGAGCGACCTGCGAAGCGCCAACGTGCCGGGCAGGGCGCTGCCGCAACGATCAAGCTGCCCCAGAGCCGGTCTGTAATTGTTTCTGCTGCGGATCCCCCAGCGGATGAAGCTGCTGGTACCGTCGGCGGAGATCGGCTTCCCAATCCGCAACCGCGTGGAAAGCAGCCACAGGAGCAGACCGAGGCGCGCCTGCAGCACCGACAGCATAGACAGCAGCAGATAAACGATGTTAAGGTGGAGAGTGATGTCGATTACGACGACGACGACGACATCGTCATTACCCCGACGATTGTCAGGACGTGGGCCAAATTGAGGTCAGCAGCTAGTAGTCCAGCAGAGAACCAAGGCCAGGGCATGGCCGCGGCGGCAGACGAAGCAGTAGCACCTGGCCCGCAGGGCGACCCTGACCCGGCAGTAGCAGCAGCACAGGTTCGCGCGCCGCCTCAAGCTGCAACTACAACAGCTGCAGCAGCAACAACAATAGATACGCAAGGCACGGGACGCCAAGGGCGGGCGTCAGCGACAGCGTCTGAAGCAGCAGGGGCGCCCATAGCAGCTGCGCCGTCGTCGCCAGCACCATCACAACAGTCGCCCTCTGGAAAGCCAGCAGCAGGAATTGGATCCTCAGCAGCCGCTGTGGCAGCAGCATGGGAGCGAGGGGGCGAAGTAGGGGAGGCGGCGGAGGGACAGGGATTAGGGACGAGGTCGGAGCGAGGGCGAGCAGAAGAAGCGGACGTGGGCGCGGCAGCAGCAGAAGCCGGCTGCGAAGCAGGTGAAAGGCCAAGAACACCCAGGGATGCTTCAACGGCAGCTGCTCTCCAACGCCCTTCAGAGCAGTTAGGTTTAGTTGATTCACTTGGAAAGGCTGACGGCAGTAGGAACAGCATCGATGTCACCAATACGGATCAAGATGTACCCCCCGGCGCAGCGGGAACAGCATGCATGCGAGGACACGCTAATTTATCGTCGCAATCAGTAGCAGTAGCCGAAGACGGGGTGACGGAACGCGCAGCCGCGGCAAAAGGTTCTGGATTCGCTCCGAAACCATCGAGCTTGCATGGCCCGCAGTCGCCGTCCAGCTCATTGCACCCGTGGCGGCTATCACCTTTGAAGGCCCGGCGCCTCGTGCCCTTAGCCGCAGCAACCTCCGCCACTACTGCAGCTGCTGCCGCCGTGGCCGTGTCTGAACCTCCATCCCTCGCTCCCGTTCCGACCTCTTATTGCGAGGCGGCATCCGCTGTAGCTACTGCTGCTGCTACTGCTGGGGCTGCTGCTACTGTTTCTGCTGTTTCTGTTTATGCTGACTCAGATGGCAGCCGAGCGGGCCGGACAGCAAAAGCGGATTCCATGGCAGTGGTGAGAGCAGACGTGAGGGCAACGGCGGCGGCGGCATTTGGTTCTCCTATTGAGGGCCCAGCTGGTCGTAGTGACGCACGGGTACCTGACGGTGGCTCAGAGCCGGCGGCCGCGGGCACCGAATGTCCAGGAGCAGCTGCGCACAGAGCGGTTCACAGCCAACTGCTGCCCGGATGTGCGATGAGTGGACCCAGCGGGGGGGAAGCTGGCAGTGATGGCGATTGGGATATAGTGACGGCTGCAGCAACCACTGGGTCGGATGGCACTGCAAAGGCCGTCGCTGCCGGTGATGCGAACGAGTCTGACAGGGCAGCAGCAGGTGCTGCAGCAGAAGGCACAGCAGCAGAAGGCACTGAAGATGGCGCTGCAGGCGGCAGCCGCGGCGTTGGTGCGGGTGTGCTGCACTGGAGGGAAGTTCCAGGGCTGCCGTCCAGCATCACCGGGTACTGTGGCGTGAACCTGCCGCCGGAAGACGTGCCCTCCGGGTCACTAAAGCTCCTGTGCCAACTCGCGCGCGACCCGATGTCGGCGGTGCTGCGGGACCGTGCAGCGCGCACCGATCTACTCCACCGCGCCGCCGTGTTACTGTGAGTCGACCCTTCTCGATCTTGTTTTGAGCTTTCTTTTCGAATTTGGGGCGCGGAAGCGTGGGTTGCAGAAGAGGGTCCTCATACGTGACAACTGGAAGCAACATGCGGACTGGACGCAGGGCCAACATCATTATTATGTGCCGGCTCATGGTCGTATCATGTCCGGTTTTTTATAACCCTGGACAGCAGGGGTTCTGCCTGGCCACCCTACCGGGCCCAGTTTCTCGCATATGATTCCCACCCGCAGT